TCTCCCCCCGACCCCTCAGCAGAGGAGCCCCAGGGCTGTGGTCCCAGGTGATGGCTGTTACCCCCTTGTGAGCAGGGGGGCTGGGGCTGGAGGTAACGCCCCTCGGGAAGGACAGCGGGGCTTCAGCAGGCCCGGAGGACAGGGGAGGCTGGGACCCCGCTGCTGGACCCCTCGCTGGGGTGGGGGTGGGGGTGGGGAAGGGTCCGGGCAGGGCCGCCTCCGGATCCCCCGCTGTCTCTGACCAAAGTCAGGACAGACACTCAGACCACCTGGGAAAGTCTGGAACAGGGGCGATCCTGCCGGCCTCCCAGATCTGGAGGGTTAAGTCAGGGCAGAGAGAACCGGGGACGCGGGGATCGTAAATCAAGTTGCTCCCCTTCCACCCCCTCCAGCGCCCGTGCTCTGCCCAGGAGGGTTTAATCCCCGAGGGCACTGGAGTCTGGTCTGAGCCTGTGTCTCAGGTTGACCAGGAGCATCGCCCTCCCTGACCCCAGAGAGCAGGAAGGGAGGGCACACGCGGGGTCGCCCCCTGAGGCCCCTGGCATCCTGTGAAAGGCCAGCGGTCAAGGGACTGCAGACGGCCCTCATGCGGCCCCGGGGACAGGGGACAGGGGGCAGCCTGGACTGAAAGCTCAGGGACACATCACCACGACAACGCACTGCCTCCTCCCGCAGCCGAGAGCAGGTCAGCGAAGAGTCCGGCCTGTCCTCAGAGCTCTGGGTTAGCGCAGACGAGGGACTGACGCTCGGGGACCTCGGCCCTGTCCCGTCCCGACCCGGCCACTTCCTGGAAGGCAATCTCCTCTACAGAACAGGTGCGCCGTCCCGGCCTGGCAGGACCCCCGCCCCCATGCTTGGTTCCCAGGCTGGTCCAGCTCCTCTGAGGCCCCCGCCACAGGAAGCCATCCTTGTTCACGTCTGTCCCCAGACGGTGGCTCAGCCTCCAAGGACGGCGGCCAGGATGTGAGAGTCAAAGATCAGCCATGATGGTGGGGACTGACCGGTCAGCAGGGACCCTGGGCCGAGGGCAGGTTTCAGCTGAGCCCCGCCCAGCCGCCTGCTCCCCCTGCTGCCTCGGGGATGTTCACCCAGGTTGGGGGGTTCCCCCCAGCCCCTCAGTCCAGAGCAGCTGCTACAGGAGCTTCCGGCAGCGTTGCGTCTGCTCAGCCCCTGATGTCTTGTTTTACCAGCACACTGAGCACTGGAAGTGGGCTCTCTGCTGAAATGACCAGCTTGTTAACTAGCATCCCTGGTCTTAGAAACGCATTCTTGCTGGATGAGGGGACCCCCCCCCCATCTGACATGTGCAGGTGGAGGGGCCAGCAGGACAGGCGGTCTGCACCTACGGTCCCTGCGCAGTCCTGGCTCCACCTCGTGGCTCAGAGGATGCTGCGACTGGCGCGTAAAGGGGTAAAGGGGGTAAAGGTCCTCGCCCTGGACGTCAGGTGGACCCTCCCGGGGGGGCTGGATCAGTCCCAGTGGGGAGACCTGATGGCTTCTCGGGCCTTCAGGAGAGCTTGACGGGGGCCTTCAGAGTCTGCCTCCCGATGAGCGAGTGTGACGATGACGCCTGCGTGTCCGGGCGGGTCTGAGCCCCGCCACACCTGGTAGGAGGGCTGTGCGCGAGCACGTGGCCCTCGTCATCGCAGACTTTCTGGAAGGAACTCACGCACCAGAAATAACCGAATCCCTGTCTGTGAACAAATCGGCTTAGGTGACGTCACCACCTCCGTCTCCCTGACGGCAGCCCCGCGTCACAGCCGGGAGGACGCGCAGGAGGAGGGCCGCTGTGCTGCTCCCTGAGGCAGGCGGCCAGGTCGACTCCTGGGGACTGTGGACCGGGGAGGCGGGTGGAGGATGTGGTCCGAAATGAAATTGCCCTTAAAATTCAGGCAAGAAAGCCAGCCCCTTGACCACCTCACTTCTCTCCAGAACATCAGAACTGCCAAGAGCCTGGGGCTCCCGGGGACACGTCACCCCCTGGATCTGGGGCAGCCCCGGCACCTGGCACGTTCTTCGGGATCTGGCCCGGCGCAGGCACGCCGTCACCAACACAGGACGTGGCCGTCCCTGCGGGGCCGCCCCGTTCACTCACTCAAGCCAGCCCACTGAGTCCCCGCCCGCCCACAGCACAGCAACCCAGGGGCTGCATGGCCTCCCGTAACCTCACGGTGCCCCCTGGGAGGCGCTGTGACGACACCCGCCCTGCACAGGGGGAAGCTGAGGCCCAGGTAGGTTAGGGGACCCAAGTTCACGCGCCTGGGTCCCGCCTTTCTGCCCCCGGTCCTC